TAAAACATTTGCAATTAAAACAAATGTTAAAAATTTTGCCTATTTTTTTTTGGTAGCATCCATACACAAAAATACACCAACCTTAAAAATTTCTGGATGCAACTTAAACTGTTTGACATATCAAGATATATCAAACAGCTTAGTAATGGCTAGCTGTTTGATATTAGCTTTATAAACTAAGGGCTTTCAGAGAGTAGAACATTTTTTTAAATGTTATTCACCTCAAGATTTAGAGGGACACTACAGTTGAGAAGGCTAATTTTTGTGGTTACAACCCTCTCTTAACTCTTTAACTCCAAAACACAAACCTTGGCAAACAAAGCCGCTACACAGAGAAACAAGTTGAAAGCAGTTGCTTTAAAAAATGGTGACTCAAAACAACAAAGTCACACAAAATTGCAATAACACAACTGATAGTTTTGTAATGCTCGAAAATTTTGCAATGTTTTTAGAAAAATGAATTATTTTTATTTTGAGTAGAATTCAAGTGTTTCTCTAGTTTTTGGCTAATGATTAACTAAATTTCAAGTCATGCAAATTTAAATAATTAAAATCATGATTCAACAGTAGGCAAAGCAAAATAAAATATGACAAAAGTTTTCTTATAATAAATGTGTCAAAAAACACACAAAGGGGCATTGGTTATAAGAAATGTATTATATTAAATAGTTATTATTGCTACTATTATTATTATTGTTATTATTATTATTTTTATAATATCATCATTTCAATCTTAAGGTGCTTGTATTTAGATTAAAGTCTTTGGACTTGGTTTGTATGAAGAAGCTCGATAAAAAGGTTACTTATTAATGATTAAAATTTAATAGTACAAATATATAATATAATTAGATAAATATTTATTAGCAAAATAAATACTATTAAAATAAATTAAAGCAATGTTTCTATTTAAAAAAATATATAAATAAATATTATTTATTAATTTTTTTTAATTTTCAAATTGCAGGTTAATATTATTCCAATCATTGCAAAAGCTGATACAGTTTCAAAGAATGAGCTGGCAACTTTTAAAGAACAGGTTGCTTTTTTTTTTTTTTTTTCTTTTTGTATTACCAAATATTTCAATAATAAATGAAAATTGATAAATATAATTATAAGTTACAACATTTTTTAGAGGTTGTGAATGACCAGCCATTATTCCAATGTACCAGCCATTATTCCAATGGCTGTCAGCATTCAGCAATTCCAACCTAACTGCCGAGCTAAAAGTTTTGAGGAGGGTAAAAAATTGCTGACCTTGTTTCTATGTTTTATGGTAAAACCATATGTATCAAGTTTTTTTTGCCGACCTGATGCTGACCTAAAACAGATTAAAGTCAGCAAATTATTGCTGACTTCATTTTTCCTTATTCGGAGGGCTGATATATATATATATATATATATATATATATATCTTCTATACCTTGTTTAGATGAGAATTTGCTCACTAATTTGCTTATCTTTATAGCATTCTGCGTTTTTAGAAAAAGAAGAAAAAAACAAAGAATAATGAAAGAAAAGATTGCTGCCTCATGCCAAACTCTAAATTGATGTAGCAGGACTCCGCTGCAAGTCAGGCTATTTGTCAGTTGATGTATGTACCGAAGCCCCCAGCAGCAGACTATTTCAGTGTGGCGTCTGAGTGCTTATCTAAACTACCAATTTAAGTTAAAATTAAGTATTTAAAATTTGTTTACTATAAAAGTGTTTAAAAAACAAATACAAAATAATATAATTTGTGTACAAACTAATAATAATATTATTATAAAAATACAATAAAATTTATTAAAAAGTTCAACACGTCATACTAAAGAAATAAGAAATAACAAAAGAATAGGTTAAAAGATACATGATATGTATAGAAATTAATAGCTAAACAAAAAATGTCATTTGGATATGGTTAATCTGTAATGGAAAACATTAAAGATTATCTTGAATTGTTAGGAGCAGAATTCAATTTTTACATCACAGCTGAAGAGTTTATAGACAAATATTTTTATTGCTACCAAATTATCAAGATGAGGACATTATTGCAGAAGTTTCTAGTTCTGATGTTATTAAAACTGTAGAGAAGTCTGACAATGACTGATGTTATTAAAACTGTTGAGGAGTCTGACAATTGATGTTTCTGACAATGCTTAAAAACCAAGTTTAAAAGAATGAATGTATGTTCTGTGCTCAAGATTTCCAGTTTATATTCTAGCTTTGGAAATATTTTGAAAATGACATTGACATGGATTTATAAGCTCATAAAAGACAATTTACAATTTTTTTTTTCTTTTGTTAATTCACCTCCTAAAAGCTGAAAAAGCCACTACATATGAGAAGGCTATTTATTTGTAGTTATAACCCTCTCTTAACTCTTTAACTACAAAACATGAACCTTGACAAACAAGGCCGTTATGCGAAGAAACAAGTTAAGCATGGTACTTCCAGGGGCGTGGTGGATTAATTACTGACTCTTTTTTTTTTAACGCACACACAAATATGTATGTGTGTATGTATGTATGTATATATGTATATATATATATATATATATATATATATATATATATATATATATATATATATATATATATATATATATATATATATATATATATATATGTATGTATGTATGTATATATATATATATATATATATATATATATATATATATATATATATATATTTTATATATATATATATATATATATATATATATATATATATATATTATATATATATATATATATATATATATATACATATATATATATATATACATACATACATACACACATACATATTTGTGTGTGCGTTAAAAAAAAAAAGAGTCAGTAATTAATCCATGTATATGTATGTATGTATGTATATATATATATATATATATATATATATATATATATATATATATATATATATATATATATATATATATATATATATTTTATATATATATATATATATATATATATATATATATTATATATATATATATATATATATATATATATATATATATATATATATATATACATATATATATATATATATACATACATACATACACACATACATATTTGTGTGTGCGTTAAAAAAAAAAAGAGTCAGTAATTAATCCACCACACCCCTGGAAGTACCATGCTTAACTTGTTTCTTCGCATAACGTATATATATATATATATACGTTATGCGACATAACATATATATATATATATATATATATATATATATATATATATATATATATAGTCTTGCATGGCAGTTGAAAAGTTTCTCTATAAACTGTAGTTTTATAGTTAGCGCTAATAAACCAGACTAGAAATTTATTAAATGATAGACTGCTTACCCTAACCAAACCCTCAGTCGATGTAGCAGCACTTCAGGCTATAAGATAGTTGATGTAGCAACACTCCGCGCATGTTTTAAAAATATATTTTAATAAAACAATAACAAAAACACCATTAATTAAAAAAAACTTTCTAGTCATTATTATTGCGGTTTTTTTAAAAAACAATATATATATATACACACATACATTTTTTATATCTATTATTAAGAGTTAGAATTATGTAGAAAAGAATTGAATTCGAAGGAAATTTTAAAAAACTGGTTGCACTTCCTGAGTGATTTTTCATAACATTAATGTGAATTATCAAATCAAAAACAGTTTTTCCACAAGACCATGAATAACTTTAAAACATTATTATAGAATTACAATATTATTGATACTTATTTGAATCATTTAATCTTTGGTTTGAATCAGATAATCTTTGGTTTGTCCAAGTTTTTACTTACTTTTTAGTTTACACTTCTTATGTTCATGCGTATTGCTTTTTTTTATAAGGTTGGATTTTTAAAATGCTGCAAAGTATTTACATTTAAATATTTTTGGCATAAAAACTTACATATCACAGTTTAGGATAGAGGATTTTAGGTATATGTGATTGTTTGTGACAGGAGGGAAGGGTTTAAGAATTGACAAATATAGGGGGTGTGCTTTATAGATACATTAATTGCATTTACAAATGATTTGTGTTACTAAAACAAAAATAAATAATTTTCTAACTGATTTTTTTTTATATTAGGAGAATATATCAAATAAATCTTTTTTTTTTATTAATGTCTAAGTAAAGATATTTATATAATTCTTATTTCTATTTTTTTATGTATGTTTATATGTCAACCAACAAGAGTACACAAACAAATAAAAAAACAATATAAATAATTTTGATTAACATTAAAATAAAATAAAAGATTTTTTTTCTAAATTTTCCTAATGTAAAAAGTTTCAGTTTAAACCTTGTCAAACCAACGCAACGAAATAAGTTTACTTAATGACGTAATTTATTTTGTTATTGAAAAAGCGCCAGAACTTTAGTTTTAGCATGTAGTTTTAACTTGCGCTACACAAATTTAAAATAAAAATGTGCTCTAACTAAGCATCTTTATTGAAAATTTTATATGTGAAAACGTAACATTTAATATTCTTTCGCATATATTATTAAAAAACTTAAGTTTTTTAATAATATATGCAAAAGAATATTAAATGTTACGACAATTAGAACACGTTAGCTCTATTTTCACTCTAAATTAATTCTTTATTTATGCAAATAAATTCATGGTTAAAATAACATTTTACAATGATACTTTGTTTATCATGTGACAATGAGAAAAACCGTAACTTTCGGAAGCATAAACTAATTATAGTACTAAAGGTATATTTTATTAGTATTATCAAAACATTCGTATAATTTGTGTTTTAATACTCTTGCCAATAAAATTTTTTATAGATATTCTTAACATTAATTTATGTAGCTTATTCTTTGTTATAAAAAAATTGATTATATGAAATTTTTGATTGATCCTAGTAAAACTTTGCCCCTAGTAACTTTCATGTGTCTACATCAGTTATCATTTGGTGAAAGTTAACAAAAAAGTGAATAACATTTAACTACTTTTTCATTTTCTGCTGTGGAATTGCCCATTATATATATTAAGAAATATTTATATATAAATATGTTGAAATTTTTTAATGTTTATTTTTATCAAGATGGTTATAAAAATATTTATTGAATATTGAAGATTTTCTATAAAATTGATAAATAAAACAAAAAAGCTTTCACAAATCTTTTTTTTTTAACAATGATTTATTTTAGATAATGGCTGAATTAGAAAATAATGGTGTAGAGATATATAAGTTTCCAACTGATGATGAAACAGTTTCAGAAATCAACAATCAAATGAATGTAAAAAAAATTTTCTCTACATAAATTTAAAATAAATCTTTCTTAAACCCACACTAATTTAAAATAACATAAGATTTACCAAAATTTACATTGTATTTTTGAAGGAGTTGCTTCCTTTTGCTGTTGTTGGTAGTCGTGATGAAGTTATTATTAATGGAGAAAAATTTAGAGCTCGACAATATCCTTGGGGAACAGTTTTAGGTTTATTGTTTAGGAACTAATTTTGTACAAATAAAATTTATTTATGCTTGTCAATTATGCTTATGTAATCAATTTTATTTTTTTATTAATTTTTTTTTTTTGTTTTCTGTAATTTTTTTAATAAGCTTTATTTGCTTTATTACTAAATTCATGTTCTTTAGTTGAAAACGAAAATCATTGTGATTTCGTCAAACTTCGGGAAATGCTTCTTCGAACAAATATGCAAGACCTTATTGAAAAAACTCACCAAAGGCATTATGAGCTTTACAGAAAAGAAAAAATGGAACAAAAAGGATTTAAAGATGGAGAGGATAGGTTTGTTTTTTACTGTTCTTACCAAATGGTAATTTGATGCATTTTATTTTTATAAAAATTAATTTTCTTATTTTGATGTCATTTTGAATTTAAAAAATAAAAGAAATAACAAAATTTAAAATCTGAATTTTTTAAAGTAAATAAAGATGATGATAGAGATAAGATATACATAAGATGATAGAGGTAAGATACACATATTCACTTAATGCACAATATAAACAGGCTAAGAAACTGCAATAAACTAAGAAGTGATTGTAAATCGAGCTGAGAAGCGTAGCATATTTAGCAAAGAATAGGCTTTTTTTCTAATAGGCTAATATTTCTATCAAATATTTTGATAATAATTTCTATCAAATATTTTGAAATTTTAAATTCTTTTATTAAGATGCCGATTGCAGTTAATAAGTCTACATTCTCAGCTACTTTTTTACACTAAAAATGCTGCTTTAGTTTGGTTTTACATTTTATGATTGGTTTTAAATTTTTTTGCTTCTTCAGCTAATTTGAGTTTTTCTCTTCATTTAAAATGATTTATAGCGTTCTGTAATACTTGGACCAGTAACATGGTATGTTAGAATTCTAAATATTTTTACACAAAATTGACTTTTCTCTTTGAAAAAAATCTTTCTTTTATTTTTAGTTCCTTTTTTCATTCTCTTGTGTAGTGCTTTGTACTTGTCAAAGTATAAAGTTGATGTTGTGTTTGCTCAGTGGAAATTTTGACCGCCACAGAAACTGGCTTAGTGACAATTACAAATTGATTAGCCAGTATTTCTTGTGGGCAAGAAACAGCTCTTGTAGATGTAAATTAGTTAATTATTTTTTCAAACTCTTGTAGAAGTTTATTTTAAACATTGGTTTGAATTTCATTTTTTCTAATATTTTCAAGGCTCAAATTAAGTAATCACAAAGTGCAATATCTGGAAATATTTTTTGTCATCAAATTCTTAGTTTATTAAAAACCGTGAACATTGTTTTAATGAAACGGTCAAATTATCATATTGCAAAAGTTAATGAAAAAACAAAACAAATTTACTACTGCAAAAATAATAGCTGTCAAAACTTACATATTTTTAATTATTAGTTTTTTAAACACCAGGTTATTTAAGGTTTATAAATTAAAAAAAAACTAATAAGATAAAAATTACTATTACTAAAGGTCCAAAAAATATTTGCGCTGTAATTTAAAAATAAACCAATAAAAAATTATAGATAGCTTTAGCACTATTTGCGCATTGTATGAAACATTCTATGAAAAATCAACCAATAAGAAATTTAGGGGGAAAATTTAATAAATTATTTATCTAAAAATTTAAATATTTTAAATTAGAAATTAAATTGATAATAAAAATGTTAATAAAAAAGATTTATTTTAAAATAATTTATTAGAGTTTTTTTGCTTTGTTTTAAAATAACTATAAAATTAGTTTTTATACATATTTAAACTCCTGTCTTTCAATTTTGTATACGTATCTGCAAACAAATAACAATCATTTAATTTAGATAAAAATGTTGAATAAGATTTAAAAAAGATATAAAAGTATTTTATTTCTTATTTAACAATTTCTTTTTTGATAATTCAAGTTATAGACTAAATACTTTTTATTCAAAAGCAAATTGTAAACTTAAATATTTTTTATTCAACAGTTGAGTTTAGTGATCAAAACAGTTTCAGGGTTTAAGGCTTTTAAAAATTTTAAAATTTAAAGACCTCAAGCATTTCCAGATATCGCAATTCACAATCACTTAATTCGAGCCCTGATTTTACTTGATATTTTAGCTAAAGCTTAAAAAAGTACCATCAGAATCAAAATTAAATTAACTATATGACAGTTATATATTAAATATAAGCCGGTTTAATCGACAGTCGAACTATTTAATCGTAACAACGCTAGTTAAAATATTGAGTTGGAGCAATAATGATCTAGCTCAAAATTGTAAATTTTTTAATTTTATAAATGTTATTTTTTTAGTCGTTTCTGCTTTTACTATAGTTCTATAAACATTTTCTTGAAGATGAAACTCCAATTTTTAAAACATTTTCCTTTTGAAGATATTTCTTTAAAAAACATTTTAAGATAAAAATTCATTTTTTGAAATATTTTCTTAAAAATGAAAATCCAATTTTTTAAACATTTACTTGATGACGTTTTCTTGATCTCCAGGAAAATGTATCTAAAAACTCCATTTTTAGGAAAATGTATCTAAAACTCCATTTTCCTGGAGATGAAACTCCATTTTTTTAAAAAGTTTTTCAAAATGTGTATGTTTTTCTTGTTATCAGTTTTGCTGCCTTATAAAATTAATGCCGAATCAGTTATTTATTTTGTTGTAGTTGTTTATTTATCAGTTATTTATTTTGTTGTAGTTGTTTATTTATCAGTTATTTATTTTGTTGTAGTTGTTTATTTATCAGTTATTTATTTTGTTGTAGTTGTTGTAGTCCAAATTTTTAGAATAACTGCCTGAAGATTACTTTTTGTAATGAATGAAACCTGAACCTACTTTTTTTCTTCATTACTAATTTTTTTTTTACCTTCACTTCCTAACTTATTATCTCTATCTTGAATATCGTTATAAATTGATTTATTATCTCAGCATTCGGGTATTCGGCAATACCGACCTAACTGCTGACGTCGAAGTGTTTGAGATCGGCAAAAAATCGCCAACCTCGTTTTAATCCCCTTTGTGTCAAAATTGTTTTGCCGACCTCAGTTTGACGTTGGCAATAAATTTATTGCCGACCTCATTTTTTTTTTAATTCTTATGGATTCTTGATAAATTTCTTGTTAATCTTTTTCATTTTTTTTTTTATTTTTTTCATTTTTTTTTTTTTTTTTTTTGTGCAAAGATCAACTTTTTGAAAAAGATCAAAAATCTTTAACTCCGGTTAACATCGAACGTCTGTATTGCGTACTCCCTGGTACAACAATTGTTACTTCTTTATTAATTACACTGAGCGAGCTTGTTCCTGGTTTTTTTCATTCTTTTTTATACTTTCTTAATGCATTTTCAATTTTTCTGCAGTTTTACCTTATTAAAATAAAAGACTTTTCAAAAAAATTTTTACTTTCTTAACTATAACTAAAACTCTATGTTTTTTACCTCTGCAGACAACCACTTAAATCTTTCTAGAAAATCCTGTTTTAACAATCTTTTGATTCTCCATTATTCAACTCTGAAATTTTTTTTGACATTTTTTATTCTTATTTATAATTTGATTAGAAATAAAAGAACATAACGAGTAAAAAATAAGTTTAACAAAAAATTGATGATAATGAATATACTGTAAAATATTGTCATGTATATAAAAGATTTGATAAAAAACATTAAGGATACTTTTAAAAGATATTTGCTTTTAAGCAACCGTAATTTTATTTTAGTCGCATAGTATAAAACAATATATAAACTAGCAAAGGATTTTGAGAACTTTTTTGTTTCCAAACATCTTATGCAAACAATTAAACTATATTTATGCTTTTTCTTTTTTTAATTAACTAGTTTTTGATTCCGCTTTATAAAAACTAGGAAAAGACATCAATAAATTATTTTTAGAATAACCGTCTATTATTTTAGTATTCAAGAAACCTATCAGAATAAACGTGAGCAGTATCTACTTAATTTGCAAAAGAAAGAAGAAACTATTAGACAAACATTTGTGCAGAAAGTTAAAGACAAAGAAAATGAATTAAAAAAAGCTGAACAAGAGGTTGTTCTTTTTATCATTGTTTGTAATTTTCAAATTTTTAAATAAATGTTAAAGATAGAACCTTTGCATAGAAAAAAGTTTTTAACATAAAATAACTTCGAGATCTATCTACTTCTTCACTGCACCCTTTAATTAAGACATTTATCTTAATAGTTACAAGCAAAGTTTGAGGAAATGAAAAAAAAACAGTCGGAGGAAAAAAAGAATGTTGAATCAATTAGAAAAGCGCTGGTAAGCTTTAAAAATTGTCTTTTTGTATTTTGCTGTACGAGTTGTATGTTGTAGAAGTTATTCTTTTAATTTTACATTTTCTGCTTAATTGTATTTTTGCTTTGTTTTTTAGGATGACGATCAAGCAGCATTTGACAAAATGAAGCAAGATTTGGCTCTCCATCAAACTGAGGCTGCAAAATTAAAAAAGCCGAAAAAATAAGTCTTATAATATAAAATATTTATAATGTAAATTTTGTATATTTTTACAGGTTTTTAGTATTATATTTCTAAACTTTCGGTTATATATTTCTTTTCTAGCTTTCTCGAATTTCATGTTATACAATCTTTTCTTCTTTTTGTGGCTTTTTAACTTGTTTCGTATAAATAAATGGCTTTTACTTTCGTATTCAAGGTATTCAAGTGTAACACGTAAAAGTGTAACGCGTAAGCCATCTTTTAAAGAATATGATTAGTAGATTTGTCCTGAAATGTAACAATTATAACATTTCATCGATTTCAGCAACCCTTATTACCTGGCTTTTGCTTTCACTAAAAGGTATATAAGTGCAATGGGTAAACCATCTATGTCTTTTATGAAGTATATATTTAATATATTTGTTTTGTTATAAATATTTTTAGACTTGAAACATTTCTGCGATAACAAATTCGATTTAAGTTAAAAAGAAGCGTAACAAAATCAAGCTTTTCTTTTTTAAATTATAGAAATCGTGGCATCATGGTTAAACCCTTCACTTTTATATATATATCTTTAGGTCTACTCATTATTATAGTATATATAGTAGTTAGACATGAAACGTTTTTCTGTATTGTTTGAAGCTATAATGAAACTCATTTTTTTAATTTAAAGTTATTTTATGATAAAAGTAAAAAATACTTGTCATCAATATGATATTATTTCCTAATTTGTTATATTTATTTGACTTTCTCCAGATTCATGATAATTTTTTAAAAAGTATCTGGACTCGAAAATTTTTATTAATTTGAAGAGAAAAGTTTTAAAACAATATAAGAGTTAGTATAAATATAAAAATATTCTTTAAAAATCTAAAAATTAAATGAATTTTTGATTATTTTTTTCTCCGCAATAACCCTATATGATTTTAAATAGTCGCCATGCGCTTTCAAATCATTTGCGCGTGCAGCGTCTATTTATATAAACTTCTTATATAACAATAAATCCAGACTTCGATTATTACATTAAGTTGGACAAAGTTTACAGAAATTTGAAAATCATGAACTCAAAATAGAAAACTATTTTATCTATCTATTTATATATCTAGAAACCTTTATTTAAATTAAATCTATAAACCTTTAAAGATGAATGCTAACACGTTAAGGTTAATAAAATAAGTAAAAATTGAAAAAAAAAAAATTTTTTGTTTCGGAAGCAAAAATTAATGAAGTACACAATGAAATAAAGAAATTTTGTTAACAATGTCAGGAAAGTGGAGTAAGTCCAATTTTTTGATCCATACTCATCAAGTTTAACCATAGCAACGATAAAGCTTCTGCTTATCTGATAATTTCAGAGACTCACATAAAGTTATAAATCTGCTTATAAAAAGGCTTTATCTACTTTGTTTTTACTTTAATTATCTACTCTGCTTAAATTAAATTTAACTCAACTGCCTCTAATTATTTCAGTTTTTAAACATTCCTAAAATGCAAATGTTTACTTTGTTTACATGAGTTGTTAAGTGTAATAAGAACATATTTTATCAAATTTTAATAAAAATTAGTTTTAATTATGGGAAGAAAAGGTTCAAGAGTGAAAGGAGTCAAGCAAAAAAACTAGAGTTATTGGAAAGTAAAGAGTGTTTTGTGGTAACCAACACACTTTATCGTCACCAACATCAATGACAAACTCAAAAAAATATCAGACTGATACTGGTTCTTCAAGATCAGCCAGGAGGATTGAATATATTAAAGATGATATTCCATATAAAAGTGATGAAAAAATAAATGGTTATAGAATAATTGATGTTGACATTTTAAACACTATATTTGAATCTTTATGTTGTTCACAGTGTATTAATGATAATAGTTTGGTATTGAAAAAAAACTTCGTGAAATAAAAAGGATATGCTTTGAATTTAACATGTTGCTGCAGTGTTATTTAACTAATCGTAAACAATTTGTTTGCGCTAATTAAACATTTTCATGAAATTTGTTAAATATTACATGTGGAGTTCCTCAAGGATCCATATTAGGACCTCTTCTTTTCCTTATTTATATAAATGATCAATACAAAGCCTCCGATTTAATAACAATTATGTTTGCTGATGACACTAATTTATTTATGTCACACAATAAAATTCCTACTCTATTTCATTACGCGAACATCGAGTTATACTCATGCCAAGCCTTTATTATTTGAAATGAAAGTTTTTAATATATATGACCTTAATATTTTTAAATATAAACATAAAACAAAAAATATTTTTTACATTTAAACATAAAACAAAAAATATTTTTAATATTTTTTGTTTTATGTTTAAATGTAAAAAATTTTCTTTTTTTATCTTGTAAGTATCTTATAAATTTTTACACGAACATTTATTAGCGGTACTCGACGACAAGACCTTCTACGAGTCCCCTGGTCTTCTACGAGTCCCTGCGTTCTTTTGAAACTTTATTTTAAACATAATTTAGTTATATTTTATATTTTTTGTGAAATTAAGTTTTTTTTTTCTATTTTTGCGTTTTTCTCAAAATAAAGTTTTTAAATGCTCCGGCTGTGATAACTTTGGAACCGCTTGGTGTTTAATGATGAAATTTTCAGTAATTGTCCTATTTTATAACTTATGTAATTTGAACCTCCACTTTTATAAAATACTTGATAAAACACGTTCTACGCCTATTTCAGTTGCTTAATTTTGACCAAATTCATTAAGGGGTATACTCCCCCATTTTTAAATATAGACAATAAATAACAACATTTGACATAAAATGATTATCCATATCATAAATGTAGAAAATTAAAAAAAAAAAAAAAAATTGGTCAACGGTTTCTGCAGTAACCGTAAAAAACCCCCAAAATAAGCAGAAAATAAGATTTGCGCTGGCCAAGTTTTAGCAAAAACTAATAAAAAAGGCTGAACAAAACTTTGGAAACACAATTAGAATAGGTTTATGAGTGTTTTAAACGAAACAGATTTTTTTAAAAAAGTTTTGGGCCTGAAGACTTGTGATCTAAAGTTAACAATAGAAAAAAGTGCATTTTTTGAAAAATTAAATTAGCTATACTGTTTTGTTCATAAGTATTTCAAAATTCTGTTCCGTTTAAAACACAGCTTTTATAAAAAGGAAAATATGTTGAAAATTTCAGATAAAACGCTTAAGCGGTTCTCTTGGAATTTTGACCGGCATATTGAAAAACCTCGAACTGAGAAAACGCATAAAAATTGAAAATAAACAATAAAAGGTCTACAAATATATGTAACATATATTGGACTATATTTAATATTAAAAACCTCCTCCTTCATATGTTTTACTTTCTTTTTCAGAGGTTTTGTCACTTTTCTTCAGTTTTTTAGCCCTTAACTTTTGACGATGTAACTTGTTATGGGAGTTTAGTTTATAGATCGACGATTTAATGCGTGTTTTATTTATGTCGATAGAACCGTTTAGTGTATAAAAACCTGGAACCATGTTCAGTTTTTCATATATTAGAATTGAAGACTTCATCCCAATGTTAAAATTGGCAACAGCATCATAAACACCAAACTTCAGCAAAGTCAGCGAGACATATTTCGTTTTCGGTATGCGATCCCAAATTTTCCCATGTAAAGACTCATTTGCATTTTGCGTTTTACAGTGCAGACATTTTTTAAGCTCATCTTCTTTTGTGAGCTCTTCAAACACAGGTCTAATCTTGTATACAACCTATAAAGGTAGACCAGGTCCTGGCTTGTAGGTGTTAGTGCTATTTGCTTTGTCTTTGTTAAATTTACACCAACTGCTTACACCTGTTGGACAATGTGGATAGTGCCAATTATTTGCTTTTGATGATGCAACGTGAAAAAGAGTAGCAAGCGCTGCTGATTTCATGGCAATTAAATTACCAGTATTCTGTCTAATTGCCACACCAAAGAAATTTTGCAATCGATCAATTGTTGCATCTGTCAATCTACCACGACCGCCCAGTCCCAGTCGTATGCATTAGGATTTTTTTCAGAAAGTTTTTGATTTAAGGAGCACCCTCTGCATACTCGACTCATCACCTCGACATCTAAAACTTTCCCACTGTCCATTGAAAGTGCTGCAAATACACCATTCAATGAAGAAAATCCCCTACGTTGCCACGTGCCATCACATGATACACCAACATCAAGAATCTCATTATTGTCTTGACACTGTAGTCTTAAATCAGATACAGCATCAGCCATTGTTTCGTGTGCAACTTCCTCTATAATATTAGTAATTTTTAAAACAAGTTTGTCATAGTTTTTTGGCGTCATTGGTTTTGGCATGTTCATGAGGGTTGTAAACCTTTCAATTCCGGAATGTCCTAATCCAAGAGTCCTCATTGTATATACTGTTCGATTGTTTATATCAAAGTTTTCTTTATTATTAACTAACTTAGAAGTGTAAAAGTTATTTTGATATTTACACTTTAAACAAATAATAGAAAGTTCACATGCAAGTCCTTGCTTTTTGCTTTTGTTTTCAATGATTGCTAAAGTCGTTTGGAAACAAGTCGGACAGCTCAAAACGCTAATAACATCAGACAAAATTGAACAATCAATAATTCTATATCCTGTCAGAACTTTGTTTTTAGTATTGGTATATTTTTGTGGAGATGAGCTAATGACTGCTTCAACTTTGCGAAGAGAAGAGCTTGGCGTATCGAAGATATCAGTTTGACTATTTACAGGTGATTCGATATTTACACTTAAAGAAGGAAAATTTACATTATTTACACTCACACTGCTACTTATCACTTTTCTATTAAAAATCTTCTTTCTTTTGCCTGCTCGCTTAGTTCTAACTTTAATTCGATCAGCCTTAACCATGTCTGAAAACTAAAAAATTTAAAATTTCTGGGACAAAAAATAAGCTTCAAAACAACAAAACGAACTTTGTCTTTATATACCAAAAATAAAGTGCTAACAAGTCTAACAAGAAGCCAAAAATGCTTTTAACTTGTGAAATCAATACGTTGTATGGTTTACAAGTGATTTTTTTAGGGGTAAATAATTTTTTCTTTTTTGTACCTAACTCTCAAAAA